TCAAACACATTGAGGAACACGTAGCCCCCGGGGAGCACACCTTCTTCAAAGACTGCCCCCGGCTACGTAACAAGGAACCCCCTCGGGGCGCCACAGCCCCCCACCCGTCAACAAACAAGGGACCCCTCGACAGAACAGGAAATATCACCTACATTCAACGCACCCTCATTCTCATGAATTGGGGGCTCCCCCCGGCATCCCCAAGGATATCAAAAGCGAGCCTTCGGCAAAGCAACACACGCGCCTTCAGACAAGGATAGCCTTCGGCAAGAATACTGCCACTCATTTCAGACCAGGGTTTTACCTTTTCGACTTATCATTGGAAGAATTCGGTGCACTCTTTTTCCCTCATTGGAATTTTTTCCCACAGGGTTTTTTCCAATGAGGTTTTTAACGAGGCATCCCCCCAAAATGAAACGAAAAGTGTCACCCCTCGGCTTCATATTGCAGGCAGGCACTACTCTACTCCTTTTCACCACTTTGTAAGTGCCTCAAGGAGTGGGGGACTGGAGGATCCCTTCGGGAAAAATCTCAAAATATCAAAAAACTCCCACAACAACAAACATGATCCCTCAAGTCCCAAAATGTGGGTAACTGAGGGACTGTCCTCAGCTCAAACATGCACACAACGAACTACTCACAAACTTTACAAACTACAATGGAACAACACCAAAGGACAAACACAAATTACTCCTTTTCTCTCAAGTACCTTTCGACAAAAGGAGTGAGGGACTCCTGATGGAGTATATGGCCCAGGAACCCCCGGCCCATAGACTCCTACTATTCTAAGGGAGGCCCAATAGGCCCAGGAAGCACAGCAGGCCCAAATCACAGCGCCCCAAGTAGTGAGCAACCCACGTAACACACCGGGGGTGCCTTCGGCCCCCTGGCCAAAGGCTCCAAATTTTCACAGAATGGCCAACTCAAGCAAACAAAGTTACTGGGAGAAAACAGCGAAAATCAGTAGCCCTCGGCACCTAGAGCCCTCAGCACTAAGGAGGTTCCCGGTACTCAGAGCCCTCGGCTAACCATCTGCAGCCGAGGGCACCTTTCTCGACATAATATCCTCTCCACATGCGCCTGAATCACCGTGCCAAGTACGACGTCACATCCAACAGCCGCATTTAATGCGGCCACATGCGAATACCAGTGCCACCCCGTTGAGGTGACCCCTCGACCACCAGAATGATGACACGTGTCCCTATCTGGCATTTATTACTACTATAAATAGTGCCCCTTTTCCCCATTTGTAATCCTGGCGAAAATCGCTCATTACATTCTCAGCAATACACTCTCTCTTACTTTTGCTCTTACTCTATGAGTGTAAAAGGGCTAAAAAATTTGTTCAGACTAAACTTTTTTGTGTAAACTTTCTTTCATCAATTCCAAAGTATCTCAGACTAAACAAAATTTGTTCAGACTAAACTTTCTTCTGATTGTAACCACTTTTGCCTTTGCCTACTCTGCTCGTTTCATCTCTCACTTATAATTCCTGTACACCATATTACCCCTCTTTGACACTGAATTTAACGGTAGTTTTAATTTTTTTATTTTTTCTAAAGCTATTGTTCCAACTTCATTTAAAATGATAACGGTAGTTTTAATAATTCCAAGTCACGTGTACAGAGCACTGGTCACATAATTGGAATTTTGTTTTCTAAGTCACTTTCTGGTCTTTAGCACTGGACTTTTAATAATGTATTACTACCTCCGCTCGTTGGGAGGTTCCCAATTCCCATAGCAAAATGACACGGTTATTCAGACAATAATTAAATAAAGTAATTCGACAATATTTTAAGAAATAATTTTAATAGGTATATATTATAATGCAGTTAGTATATATTGATAACTGTGATGTTATAAATGTAATATTTTTAATATTTAATGATTAATTTGTCACTAAAGATTGTCAATTGTTTCCTAAAACAGAAATGAGAATCTGTGTATGAGACGTCCAAAAAAGGAAAGTGAGGATCTTCTAATGGGACGGAGGGAGTATAAATTAAATTTTTAAATGCAACATTGGGTTTAAATATACTATCTCCGTTCTCTTTTAATTGCAACATTGGACTTTTTGCAATATTCACATATTCTACTTTGACATTGGATCTTCTAATGTATCACTCCCTCAGTCCCAAATTGTAAGATACATTTAGTATTCACTTGGTCAACATAAATATCTCTTAATCTTTTACTTTATATATCAAAAGTTTATGAAATTTGAATTATTTTTTGCAGGTTTGGTAGCGGTTTCAATGAGTGTTGACAGGGATCAAATTGCTTTATCGTCGGTCAAACATCGTAAATCGTAAAGTATCTTACAAATTGGGACGGAGGGCGTATAAATTAAATTTTAAAAAAAATATTGTTAAATTCTTCTCAGTCTAAATTTTCAAAATATGAATTTTTTAAATTTTTTACTAATAGAAAATGAAAAATATTAATGATCAAACTTGTGCATTGACAAATGGAAAGAATTTAGCTTTTTTCCAATTAAAAGGGAAAGAAGGAAGTACAAAAAGACCATATGAAGGACTCCAGAGAACTCCTAGATCAGCACTCCAGACAACTCCGGTACCCATATAAAAAATGGGGTACCGTACCTATCATTCAATTCATTGGTCTACATCATTATATCTTTTTTAATTTAAATTTAAATAATTCAACTGCAACATTCTCATTGGTCCATGTGAACAAAGGTACGATATCTTATGGGTATCATAGAATCTACCTTTTCTTAAATCACATTTGGTGACAACTGACAATGCTTTACAAAGTCAAAAGTCGTTGTGCTGAAATTACGTTTAGGTAAAGCATGTTTGCTATAGTTACTCATGCTGTCGGAAAATATAATTTACGATTTATTACGTGCCCCTAGTAATATTTTATGAAAAAACCTTGATTCATTATTATTCTTTCATCCCTTGAAAAACATCCTACTCATCATTTTGGGATGTCTCAACAAAAAAATAAAGCTTTGTGTGATTAACATTAATTTACTTTTTTTGTTAGTCAATCACAATCATATATTTTGAGTGTATTCTAACTTTCTGAAGCCCTGATCCAAGTCAAATCCGAAAAAAATTTATGAAACCAAGGAAGTACAAGAAACATCACTAATAACTTTAACGTCAAATGTAATCACTAATCTAAATAACTTTTTATTTAGTGAGTAGGTGGGCTTGGAACGTAAGAGAAAATTCCCTACACAAGACTAAGAACGCGTATACTGTACAACCGGTGATCACTTTACAGCCGGTGACAAAATTGTAATTTTTGTGAAAATCGCGGATTCTCCAAAATGGACATTTATGCAACTTTGATGAGCATCAATCTTGTTCTTTTGAGTATTAGGAGCCTAACAGTGAGAATCAGTGATCTCTGCTTCAAACCTTATATATCACTTTTGGTTTATTATTTTTTCGTTTAGTACGATACATTTGAAATGTTCAACATTTTAAAATGAGCATACATAACTTACAAGTTAGTATCAAATAACTAAAAGGTTCATTTGTGTGTGCTTATTCTTTTTGGGCATTATACTCATTTGAGTTTAACATAAAACTCATTTCATTTAAAATGAGTATTAAGCAAATATCAAATGAGTATACATACATTACAAAATGAGCAATCATAAAACTCATTCGAAATGTCTACTGTGCTCATAATTTCATTTTGTATAAAAAATGTGGTAGCCCATGTAGCAAGCCAGTAATTAGCAGAGACGGAAAAATAGAGTGTGAAGAATAGGAATCGCTCGCAGGGGTAGAGCCGTCTCTGCGTCGGCTAAGAATCTCAGTCGTGACTCGTGAGTTGCACTTGGAAGCTTGGCTATCGGCGATCTGCGTTCGTGAGTTGCACCAGACTTTCGATCTGCCGTCCTTCGTCTGTTCGTTGGTGAGTTGCAGGGCTGAATCGCGAGTTGCAAGGCTGAATCGCGGAGGTGTAATTACAAAAAAAACAGTTGTACGGTGAGCACCGTACAGCCGGCCGTACGGTGAGCACCGTACAGCCGGCCGTACGGTGTATTTTCAAAATAAAACCATGAATCTATTATTTTCAAAATAAGATTGGAAATTTCAATCAAGTTATTCCTTTAATAGGATCTCAAACATCTTATTTTGGGAATAAAACATACTCTCTCCGTTCTTTTTTAGTTGCAATGGCCAACATTTCACATTTGTCAATGCACGTCTTTGACCGTAATTATATCTTAATTCTATTAGTAAAACAAATAGTAAAAATCATATTTTGAAAATTTGTAATGAGATGAATTAAACAATATTGTTTAAAAATAATAATTTTCATAAAATAATGGCGTAAAATATAATCAAAGTAGAACATATGAATAGTGTAAAATTCAACATGTTGCTCTTATTTTTGAACTATGTATGTTTTGATCATACATCTATCAATTTAAAAAAAAAACAGATGTACTTGACTTGACTAATTAGGACATGACCATCCAATGCATGATCGAGAAGTTAGCACCTATTTAAACCCGCCAAACTAAGTCATCATACTCAATCCCACCATTACAAGCAGCTAGCACCTCATTTTTTTTCGACCCCCCAAATGGATGAGAAAAACGAACCGGCAGCTGGGACGGTTTCCATCTTCAGAACCTTCGTCCTCCTACTCGTGAGTTTATTTGCTAGCTGTATCTTTTTCATCTACGTTAGATCTTCTAGCAGTCTATTGACATTTAGGGCAATTCCATTTTTTTTTAGTTTTTAAATGTATATTTGATCTTTATTTTTCATAGTTAGCTCACCTGCATGTTAATGTTTAAGTATTGTGTTATAATTACTCTTTATTTCATAAGAAATTGATATGAATACGACTTAAACATAAAGGAAGATGCAAAAATAGGACAGTGCCTTTTGAGTTCCCAATATAGGAGTCTTTATTCCTATTTTACCCTTCTCACATTTAATGTTACGGTTCAGTTTCCAGCATGTCAATATCCTTTCTCCTCTCCACTTAACATTTACGCCACTCACCCCCGACCTTTCCTCATATTCCCATTCTCCCATCCATTATTTCTTCTCATCCATAATTTCTTCTCATCCATCATTTCTTCCCATCATGTATTTCTTTTGAATTCATCTCATCTCTTATCCCCAGTCTCTTCCGATGATGGTTGATTTCTCTTCTGCGACGTCACTCCGGTCATGTGACGTAAGTCCAGTCTCCGACGCTCCGATGGTCTTCTCCGGTAAGATATTCTCTTCCCTAAGCTCATCCTCTTCCATCTTCTTCTCTCTCACTCTTGCTCCTCTATTTTCTTCTCTTGATATTTTTTTTCTATTTTCTATGGTTTCATTTGTTTAATTTTGAGATTCAAATCTAAAATTGCTGTTTTAGATCTGAAAAATTTTGGATCTATTTTTTTTTTGGATTTAGCTATTTAAAAAAATTGAATCAAATATTTTTATCCTTCTAAATCTAAAAATTTCTATTCGAAACTCAAGATGGAAATTTTAGTCTTTTAAGTATAAGAATAATGCCATGTTTTCATTGTAAAAAAATCTTATTTTGGCAATTTGTGACATTACAAGGGTGGTACCATTTTGACAATTAATGCTCTTATATCAGTTATAATGTCATGTTTTCATTTCGAAAAATGAGATTTTGGCAATTAATGTTAAGATGCACTGTGAGTCAACTTTGTATTTTTGCAAGCACGAAATTTTGACAAAGATCTACATCAATCTCGCCGGAATCTCACCGGAGGAGAAGGTGGCGCAAAGTGAGAAAGTGGCACCGCCGAATGAGGCGGCTGGCGACGACCACGCCTGGTGAAGCAGCATGCGACGAACGATTTCAGATGTGCCGGCCAGTGATAACGATTACAGATATGGTGGTCGGAGACAACATTTCAGGTGTTGCGGTAGGATTTCAATTGTGGTGGTGGCCGGCGGGCGGCAGGCGGCGGGCGGTGGGCGGTGGCCGGCGGCCGGCGGCCGGCGAACGGCGGCGCCATCGCCGGTGATGTGAGCTGTCGTACAATTATTTTGGTGCAGCACGTCTCTATAAATTGTTTTGTTCTACTGCCATATAATTATACTCTATATTGATTATTAATAAAGAATTCAATTATTCATTAAGCAGTAATTTTCCTACACAACTTAATAGTCCTAGTTTTGCACTTTCAATACGTTTTACTCCTAGATTTGGAATTTTCTCTTATTCCATTCCAAGCTAATTAATTCGAATGTCTGGGTTTGCCCTTGTAGGTATTCGCAATGGGCACCGCCGCGTCTGGTCACAGCGTGAAGAAGCAGACGCTGCAGACCCTCACTGTTGTCTCCCTGGCAGACATCCAACGGCCGCTGCAGCAAAAACAGCGATCCACGGAGGCAGCAGCGGCGGCCAGCGTTCTTGATGGCGCAGCTGCACCAAAGAAGGGGGGGCTAAAACTTGACATCCTCAACCATTTGGATCTGTTATCTGAGGCTGAACTCAAGGACATCAACCACGATCGGGTGTTCATAAATCGTTTGCAACGCGATGAGAATAGGGTTAGAACTATCCAATCTGCTGCTGGTGGTGGTGGTGCTGCTACCGTCATTTCCGGAGCGAATTACGGGAGTGGGGAGTACTTTGGCAGGGTCGGGCTTGGCAGTGACCCTGGCAAGGGCATGTACTTGATTCTAGACACTGGAAGCGACCTGAGTTGGGTTCAGTGCAAGCCGTGCAGCAGATGCTACAAACAAGCAGACCCTATTTTCAATTCCAACAACTCCAAATCCTTTCATCCCGTTTTCTGTGGTCAGCCTTCGTGTGACAATATCAACGACTTCGCACTCCACTGCCAAAAGAATACCAAAATGAAGTGCCAGTACAATATTACGTACGGGGATGACTCTGAAACCGTTGGGGACTTGGCCAACGACACGCTGACGCTGATGGGCAAGACTAGTAGTTACATCCCGGAATTCATTTTCGGCTGCAGTCGCAGCAGCAAAGGGTTGTTCGTCGGGTCGGCCGGTTTATTGGGTCTGGGAAGAGGAAAGTCGTCCCTGCCGGCTCAACTGGCCGCCACCCAGCGCCCGGGTTTTAGCAGATCCTCGACTTTCTCCTATTGCCTCTCAGCTGACGGCAGCTCCGACGCGCAAGCAGCGTCCTCAATAGATTTCGGCGATTACGGTTCGGCTATCAAACCAAATTTCACCTCCCTTCTCCGGAACCGGTGGGCGAAGAGGATGGAAAACTTCTACTTCATTGAGCTGGAAGGGGTCAGCGTGGGAGGGTACAGGGTGGCTGGGATTAAGCCATCTATGTTCAAGCCCACAGATCAGGGTGGGCTAATCATTGATTCCGGCACCACAGTCACCCGCTTGTACAAGCCCGCTTACGATGCACTGTGTAACAGGTGCAATTACGGAAGGAAAGGAAGAACTGAAGGATGGGACCCAAGAGGACAAACAAGTGGCAAATAACGGAGGAAAAAGGCGGAGCACTCGTAATAAAATAACTAACACTATGCTAAATGATTTTGTGTGGTCCCATAAGTAGTATAAATAATTAGCCAATTTTATCAGATAAGGCATGGAAGTTGTATGTCTTATTCTCTTCTCCTGAAACATTCTGTTAGCAATAATTCTGTCAGACTGCTAACTTTGGCCAGAAAATGCCTTACGTTCTCTTCATTTTCCTATTTTAGAATAGTTCTCTTGCTGTGATTTACTTCACTGTTACATTGGTGCTTTCATCATTCGAACATGGCGGAAGGTACTCGCCTGAAGGAGCTCTCTGCAAACATTACGAAGATGATGGAAATGTTGGAAGCAGATAAGCGAGAGAATAATGTGAGATTCGAAACACTAGAAGCTACAGTAAGTACCTTGTTGCAACAGAACAATAGCAAAGGGGATTATCAACAAGGGAACGTTGCGGGTCACCTGTCAGCAAGTAGTAGTGCAGCTCATCAACCATTTCAGGTGAGAAATGTTAAATTAGATTTTCCACGCTTCGATGGATCTGGAGTTCTTCAGTGGATATTCAAGGCCGAACAATTCTTTGACTACTACAATACACCGGATTTTCAGCGCATCACCATCGCTGCCATTCACATGGAGAAAGAGGTAATTCCCTGGTTCCAGATGACTAATCGATCAACTCCGTTTCAATCCTGGACGGATCTAACTCGTGCTTTAGAAATCGAATTTGGCCCATCACCCTATGAAAGTACTAGATCTCTGTTATTCAAACTATCACAAACTGGATCCGTTCATGACTATTATACTCAATTTACGGCTTTAGCAAATCGAGTCCAAGGTGTCACCAGGGAAGCGCTGTTGGATTGCTTTGTGGGGGGGCTGAAACCGGATATTCAGAGGGAGGTCATTGCTCAATCTCCTACGACACTACTCCGGTGTGCCTCTCTAGCAAAGTTATTTGAGGAAAAATATATCAAACCAAATCACAATACCTTCCAGAATCGTACAGTGAGCTCTATCACTAATTCACACCCCCACACAAGTTTACCTTCTTCTCAATCTATAAAGTCTACAAATCTGCCGCCACTATTACCTAAACCTGTCACAAACCCCAGTCCTAGCTTCCAGAAATCAGCAAGTATAAAAAAAATCTCACCAGCAGAAATGCAGTTGAGAAGAGAGAAGGGTTTATGCTACACTTGTGATGAGAAATTTACCTCTTCTCACAGGTGTCCTAACAAGCAGTATTTATTACTGCAAATGGACGAGGTTGAGAATGTGGAAGTACCACTGGAATCATCAGCTACAAGTGAGACAGAATTGGAGCAGTTAACCTTGGAGCATCACTTGTCTTACAATGCTTTGAAAGGCTCTTCTGGTGTAGGAACTATGAGGTTTCAGGGGACTATTAACGGGATGATGATTCAGATATTATTGGACAGTGGAAGTTCTGACAATTTTTTGCAACCAAGGATTGCGAGTTGCTTGAAACTACCAGTGGAACCTGCATCCAAATTTCAAGTGTTAGTTGGCAATGGACATTCTTTAATAGCTGAAGGATTAGTGAGACAACTGGACGTGAGAGTGCAAGGCCATTCATTGAAAATTCCGGTTTATCTCTTACCCATTTCGGGTGCGGATTTAGTGCTAGGAGCCACATGGTTGGCTACCTTGGGCCCTCATATTTCAGATTACAGTAAGCTCACCTTGAAGTTTTATAAGGGGAATCAGTTTATTACACTACATGGGGATCAACCAACACTTCCGCAACCTGCTCAATTCAATCAGCTCAGGAGAATGCATCACACTAATAGCATTGCTGAAATTTTTATATTACAAAATCAGCAGAAAGCCATACCTCATGATGAGAAGCTGGAATTACCTACAACAATGCCACAAGATATGAGAGAACTGATATTAAAATACAACACGGTTTTTGCCGTACCTACTTCCCTACCCCCATCAAGAACTCATAATCATGCCATTCCATTGATCAAAGATGCCAAACCAGTGAAAGTACGCCCCTATCGATATCCACACAGTCAGAAACAACAGATTGAAACAATGGTCAGTGCTATGTTAGAGGATGGGATCATTACTCCTAGTACCAGCCCATTTTCTTCACCGGTTATATTGGTCAGAAAAACGGATGGGTCTTGGCGATTTTGCACTGATTACAGGGCTTTGAATGCTCTCACCATTAAAGATTCTTTTCCGATTCCGACGGTTGATGAATTATTGGATGAATTGTTTGGCTCCAAATACTTCTCCAAACTTGATTTGCGATCAGGGTATCACCAAGTACTTGTCAATCCAGAGGATAGACATAAAACGGCTTTTAGAACACATCATGGACACTATGAATGGGTAGTAATGCCTTTTGGGCTCACCAATGCTCCGGCAACCTTTCAGAGCCTGATGAATGAGGTTTTTCAGAAATTCCTTAGAAAATGTGTTTTGGTTTTTTTTGATGATATCTTGATATATAGCCCTACCTGGAAGGAACATCTGGTACATGTGGAAATAGTCTTCTCCCTGCTTCATGATAACCAGTTGTTTGCCAAGCTATCAAAATGCTCGTTTGGATTACAACGGGTGGATTATTTAGGCCACACTGTTTCTGGAGAAGGGGTGTCGATGGACATGAAGAAAGTACAAGCAATAGTAGATTGGCCAAAACCTGTTACTTTAAAACAGTTGAGAGGGTTTATAGGACTCACAGGATATTACCGGAAATTTATTCAGTCTTATGCTAAGATTGCCGCACCCTTGACAAACATGCTTAAACAAGACAACTTTCGGTGGGAGAAAGAGGCAGATGAAGCTTTTACCAATCTAAAAAAGGTAATCACTCAAGCACCAGTATTGGCCTTGCCTAACTTTTCTAAACCATTCATTTTAGAAACTGATGCTTCGGGCATGGGTATTGGAGCAGTACTAAGCCAAGACAACCATCCCATTGCTTACTTTTCGAAGAAGCTGAATTTTAGTATGCAAAAACAGTCTGCTTATGTAAGAGAATTCTTTGCTATTACGGAGGCCATAGCAAAGTTCAGACATTACTTGTTGGGGCACAGATTTATTATTCGAACCGATCAAAAGAGCCTTAGATCACTCACGGATCAAGCCATTCATACACCGGAGCAGCAAAAATGGGTGCATAAGTTGCTGGGGTACGATTTCTCCATTGAATATAAACCAGGGAAGGAAAATATAGTTGCTGATTCTCTCTCTCGGTCCTTCTTGATGGCCGTATCTGAACCTAAGTTGCACTTAATTTCCGCCTTAAAGGAAGCCTTGTCACAGGATACTCAATTGCAGGGTATTCTACAAAAGTGTTTACAAAACCAGCATCCTGATCCGAATTATTCAGTTTCGGATCAATTACTATATTGGAAAGGAAGATTGGTGTTACCTAAGAGCCATGAATTAGTTCAGAAGGTTATGGGTGAGTTCCACAATACGCCGTTGGGCGGTCATTCTGGCATTACTCGAACATTTCAGCGAATTGCTTCTCAATTTTATTGGCAAGGAATGCAAAAAGATATCAAGGACTTCGTACAAAACTGCCTTCTGTGCCAACAAGCTAAGCATGACACATCACTGCCTTCAGGGCTACTGGAACCATTGCCTATACCGGCCCTTATCTGGGAGGAGGTGGCTATGGACTTCATCATAGGCCTTCCTTCTTCTAATGGACACACAGTCATTATGGTGGTTATTGATAGACTGTCCAAGTATGCTCATTTGGCTAGTTTGAAATCTGATTTCACTAGCAAGGAGGTAGCAGAATTGTTTATTAAAACAGTGGTCAAATTGCATGGGTTTCCTAAGTCAATCATCTCTGATCGTGATAAGGTGTTTACTAGTCAATTTTGGCAACACTTGTTCAAGTTGAGTGGCACTACATTGAAATTAAGCACGGCTTACCATCCTCAAACGGATGGCCAATCCGAAGCTTTAAACAAATGCATTGAAATGTATTTAAGATGCTTTACTTTTGCTAATCCTAAAGCGTGGTGCAAATATTTGCCATGGGCTGAATATTGGTACAATTCATCCTTTCATCATAGCACTGGCATCACTCCTTTCAAGGCTGTGTACGGGAGAGAACCCCCTTCGCTAGTTCGATATACATTCAATAATCAGGACCCTCCTAGTGTTCAAGAACAACTAAAACAAAGGGATGCTATCCTCGATCAATTAAAGGAAACATTGCAGAGAGCACAACAACACATGAAAAAGTATGCTGATCTCAAAAGGAAACCTTTTCAACTGGAGTTGGGTGATATGGTTCTAGTAAAGCTTCAACCATATAGGCAGCACTCTGTAGCCTTGCGCAAAAATCAGAAACTTAGTCTGCGCTACTTTGGGCCATTTCCGGTGATTCAAAGAATTGGTGAAGTAGCTTACAAGCTTCTCTTACCTACCTCGGCCAAAATTCATCCCGTTTTTCATTGCTCACAATTGAAACTGTGTAAAGGGAATCATGATACTGCGTATGTACCATTACCCATTACTACTTCAGATGTGGCACAGATATTGCAGCCAGAGGCCGTTCTTAAGTCGAGGATTATTCTCAGGCATCAACAACAGGTACCCCAACATCTCATCAAATGGGAGGGACAAGAGGAGAAGGAAGCTACCTGGGAAGACTCTGCAGCTTTTGAGTTAGCTTTCCCTGACTTCAACCTTGAGGACAAGGTTTCTTTTAAAGGGGAAGGTAATGTAACAGGTGCAATTACGGAAGGAAAGGAAGAACTGAAGGATGGGACCCAAGAGGACAAACAAGTGGCAAATAACGGAGGAAAAAGGCGGAGCACTCGTAATAAAATAACTAACACTATGCTAAATGATTTTGTGTGGTCCCATAAGTAGTATAAATAATTAGCCAATTTTATCAGATAAGGCATGGAAGTTGTATGTCTTATTCTCTTCTCCTGAAACATTCTGTTAGCAATAATTCTGTCAGACTGCTAACTTTGGCCAGAAAATGCCTTACGTTCTCTTCATTTTCCTATTTTAGAATAGTTCTCTTGCTGTGATTTACTTCACTGTTACACACTGCGAGACGCTTTCAAGAAACAGATGACCAAACTTCGAGCGGCGGCGACCGCGGCGTCGCCAATCTCTCT